GAGTGCTAAGTTTCGTGAAAATGGGTTCAGATATAGATATAGCTCTCATATATATTTTCGCCCGATTTTATGTAAATGATGCCCCCATATTACTATATATCTTTCGAATTGCACGAAATTTTGCATAGTGTACTGAATTGAGTTTAGAATGCCGTGTGTCAAATTTCGAGAAAATCGGATTTGATTTGGCTCCCATATATGTTTTCGTCCGATTTAAGGTAAATGGGGCACCGAAGTCCCTATATATCCTTGGATTTGCACGAATTTTGGTACAGCACAATGAATTAAGTCGATTGTGTTAAGTTTCTTGAAAATCTGTTCAGATTTAGATATAGCTGCCATATATATTTTCGTCGGATTTAAGGTAAATAATACACCAAAGCCCCTATATTTACTTCAACTTGTACGAAATTTGATTGGGATTAATGTTAGACGGTTTACGATACTTATAGATAAAGATCGCCTATTTATTTCGTTGAATTTCATGTCAATGTTCCTTCGAAAAGACGTCTGTTAGGATACATATGTAGAATATACCCAAAGTAGTGAAGGGTATCATATAGTCGCCCCATTCCGACTTTACTACTTTCCTTACTGGTTTTCTAATATATTTTTTTTTTCAAGAATTGTCTTTCCGATTTTATTTTTCAGCACACTCTATTGTACTAGTCTGTGAAACTTTCCTCTCACGCCAAGTGCGATGTTTATTGATTTTTCATTCTCAGCGTAAGGTGTTTAACCTTATTAAATTTATAAACATAAAACACTGCATACAAAGTGGCAAATCAAAAAAAAAATAAAAATAAACTCTTTAAACTCAGAAAAATCTATGCAACCTTGAAAATATAAACATTGTTTGATATAAACCATAAATAGAAACAAAAAACAAACTCGTTGATGGTGGGGAGGTGTTTGAGAGGATAAACACAATTATTCTGTGGCGAATAACCAAAGCGGAATACTTATTTAATAGCAAAGCAATGAAATAAACGTTGGTCTTTAATTGTTGGTGATTTCATATTTGTTGTTGCTGAATGTATAAATTAATGATTTAATATATAAAGTTTAATTTATTCGCACACATTTGGTGTTTGTTACAGAGTTTAATGCCCAAAGATTAGGATGTTGAATAATTAATGTAAATTGAAAAGTTTTGTCATATGTATTGTAGTAACCAGGGGAGTCGTTCTAAAAGTTTGTATGGTAATATATATATATATATATATATAATATATAAACAATGAAAAATGTTTGTTAGCTGAATTACAAGATCAGTGGCATTACCCAAATGTGGGATGTAAACATTACAAATTGATTTAATGTTCTGTCTTTTTTGGTCGATTTATTTATTTCGTTTTTTTTTTTTCTTTCGTTTGCAATTTGACTGCACGTGTTTTCGGAAATAAACATTTTAAGGTCATCAAAGTGGGAAGCAAAAAAACTAACAAACAAATCCATGTGGGATAATTCTCACACAGATTTGATGTGGTCATATTGCAAATATGAGTCATGACTTTTTAGCAATTGCTGCACAAGCTCTGCTCTTTGGAAAAAATAGATAAAGAATATAATTCATTTTTCTTCCCTTTGTTGGCGGTCTAATACGAAACGTGACTAATACTGGTATCTAATGTATTTGTGATTTCTTCAGATCAAATATCATGGTGTCAATTTTTTTTATTTAAGGAAAAAAGTCAATGTTTAAGGTTATGGCGTTCATGCCAAAATAAATAGTTTGCTAATGCACTTTCAAACATAGTCTGAAAGACAATTAAATTATAGTGTAATTTAATTTGAAGAGACAATGAAATGTTCACTAATTTTAATACCCATCACCATACTGTGGTGCAGGGTATTATGTCTTTGTGCATATGTTTGTAACCGGCAAAAGGAAACGAGATAGACACATTGTTCCTTTTGAGAATATGTATAGAATTACTTTCTGAGATGATTTATACATGTCCATTCGTCTTAAGATGTTGAATTGAAAACAAAGTACAGGTCGCATTTTTGATTCGAATTGGATGAAATTTGGCACAGCTCCGTTATTCGACCCAAGGACAAACCCTATTGAAATTGGGAAAAATCGGTTCAGATTTAGACATAGCTCCCATGTATATTTTCTTCCAATTTAAGGTAAATAGTGCACCAAAGTCCCTATATATTCTTCGATTTGCACGAAATTTAACACACCGTACTGAATAAGGGCAAAAACGATGTGTGTTAAATTTCGTGAAAATCGGTTAAGATTTAGATATAGGTCCCATATCCTTCGATTTGCATAAAAGTTGGCATAACGTACTGATTTGAGTATAGAATGAGTAATGGTGAGTTTTGGGGAAAATCGGTTCAGATTTAAATATGGCTCCCATATATATTTTCGACCGATTTTATGTAAATGGTGCACGGAAGTCCCTATATATCATTCGATTTGCACGAAATTTGGCACATCGTACTGAATTAAGTCTAGAACGATGTGTGTTAAATTTCGTGAAAATCGGTTCAGATTTAGATATAGCTCCCATGTATATTTTCGTCCGATTTAATGTAAATAGTACACCAAAGACCCTATAAATCCTTCGATTTGCACGAAATTAGGCATAGCGTACTAAATTAATAGTAGAATGATATCTGTTAAGTTTCGTGTTCAGATTTAGATATAGCTCTCATATATATTTTCGTCCGATTTTACATAAATGGTGCACCATTTATGTAACACGACATTTTGCACAACGTATCAAATTGAGACGTTATTGGGTTTTGTTGAAATTGGTGCAGATGCAGCCATAGTTTCCATATATATTTCGAACGTGTGTCTGATTAAAACTAACTTTTTAACAGTACGGCGTACCGAATAACGTGTATCAATGTTGCTATAAATCGTTTTACATAAATTTTTTTCCCATGGTACGCAGACCCCTCTAAATCGGCCTGAATGAAATTAAATTGATCATAGGTTGCTGAAATATATAAGTATGTTCCCTCGAGGGAACATTGACATACAATGGTAAGGATACATATGTACAATATACCCAAAGTGGTGAAGGGTATCATATAGTCGGCCCAGTCCAACTTTACTACTTTCCTTACTGGTTTTTTTTATGTAGATGTGATATGCAATTATTAATATTGACCCAAATTTCGGAGTAGCCATCATACACCCCAATATTCGCTATTTTTGGGGATTTTGTACAAGTTTTTGAACCAAATTGGCTGTAATTTAATATGTATTATTCTCATTGTATAACACATGAACGTACCAATAATTATTAATACGGACTCAAGGATAGCCCACATATATTATTTTGGGATTTTTGACACGTTTTTCAATCAAATTGGCTTTAATTTTTTATTTTGAGTTCTTATTGTATAGCACATCCTTATACTAGGAAAAAATTATTAATATTGAACCAAGTTTGAGTGTAGCCCTCATGTACCCCCACATCTCTTTACTAAAAATGACTTCACTACCCAAAATAATCAATTTTGATCCCCGTTTTGCAATAGACCCCATATAAACTATATTTTTTTCTCCCGTCTTTTTTCGTGTATTCAAGGTCCAATTTCTCCTAGGAGTCCCCATTAATTCTACATATTTTGAATGTCATCCTCAGGGTGTAGGATATAAAAAGTTCGGCCAAACTGAACATGTTTTTATTCAATTCAATCCATCTCATGGTCCTTACAGTCCCTATATTTACGCATTACAAAGTGACTGTATTTTGACACTCATTAATCTTGGTGGGTGAACAACTTCTTCACATAATATTTTCAATATCCTTTCAAACCACCGCATTCGAAATTTATTCAAAATCTAAAAAAAAATACATTTCTATAAAAATCGAAAAGTTCTTCTCTAAGTGTCCTGCAATCATTAAAAACCAGAAATTATCTTGGAAAACCAAAAAGAGTTATCCAAGAAAATTTAAAACCATTTTCGACTTCAATCAAAAATAAAATTCTTTAAAGGGTCTATATGTAAACCTGAACCAATACAATAATTTTTTGATAGGGGCAATTCACGGACGGATATATTTAGCTCAATCGGTACAGCTCATAGAAGATTGACAATCAGTTCCTGACAGACTATCTGGAGAAAATAAGTGAAATTATTTATATTTTAATTAACCCTAAAGTCCCTATACTTTTTTTTTGGAAAATAAAAACTAAGTATTTTTTATATTTTTTAAGACTCCAAATTTATTAAAAAAAATAAAAACAAAGTATAATATATTTTAGTATTGAATATGAAGCATTATTTGTATATGAACTTATTAAAGTTATTTTTAAATTAACTGGGTTATTCCTGAGCGTTTGTCATTGTCCCTGAGTGTAAGCCAATATTTAGAACCGATATATTTTTAGAAAAGGGGTAATTCACCACGCGATGCAAAAAATTGTCTGCAGATAAGGAAAAATGTGAGAAATATTCGAAATTAATTAACAGGGTATTTTGAAATTTTAAAAAAGTTCAGGAAAGATATTGAAGATTGTCATGCAGATGTATTAAAGCATGCAGACCGTAAAATGTTTTAAAAACTGTATCTATAGGGAAAAATATTTTTTTTAGGGACGGGAGGACAAAGAGCAATACTATGCGTACTGAAATAGTTTAAATGTGAAATGTATTCGAAACTGAAAGCCAATTTTAAAAGTCACATTATATTTCTGAGATCTGGAGATATGACATTCACATACCTGCAAATTATCCTCTCACAAAGCTAACATTTAATCATCTTCCTAATTTGTAACTTTATAACTCAGATCTATTATATATGCCATTTTGAGATTTAAAATAGTTAATGATTTAAGATTGCAAATGTTATTGTTACAAATCCTATATTCAAACTTAACTCTGTGTAAGAAACTCTAAGATCCCTTTGAACAAACCATATTTCAGTCACATCTTAACCTTTTAATAGTTCCTCAAAAAACATTTTTTTACATTTCCTTATTTTTTTTACACATTTGCAATGAAAATGTCCATTTTATTTACTTACCGAAATTCTTTGATATTTTTAAAATAAACACTGCCATTGGCTTCAGCTTCCTTATTGGCTGCATTTATGCCGGCAAAAATACGGCTCATTTGATCTTCGGTCAAATTGAACATGGCCAAAATTTGTTTACGATTATTGCCATCGACCGGTGCCGTGTGGATGGCCCCATTATCGGCTGTGACCACAATATTGTTAAACAACAGCAATGGCAGACAATAGAGGCCAAAAATGATAATGATTTTTGGTACAAACATTGTTGCAGAGCAATGGATTTTCACTCAAAAAATTCAATACAAGAAATGTTCTTGTTTTATACGTAACACACTTATAAACAATTTAATTCAAAGTATATCAGTTTTTTTTATATTTTTTCAAAACAAAATATAATTATATAAAATTCATTGTTTATTTACTTTTCTTGTATTTTTATTTTCTTTATTTTATTCTAATAAAAATTTAAAGTCTTGTATTCACAAACAAAATTTGCTTGGCTTTCTTTATATGAAGTCTTCTTTTTATTTTTGTTTTAATGTTATTTTAGCCAAAAATGTATTACTTAAACACTTTCATTCAAAACTTTGCAAAATTTTCCTTATTTTGATTTCTTTTCTTTCTTTTTTTTTTGGGATTTCTAGTTTGTCTTCACTCTAAGAATGGCAAGTACGAAGTGATTTGCGCGAGGCACTTTAAAAGACTTAAATAACATTTTTCTCGCATCTATCACAGCAGACGTTGTTGGTTCGTCGTCTGCTGGCTGCCGGCCGGCTGGCTGGCCTGCCTGCTTGCATGTGTACTTGTCTTTCATTCGTATATGCTTTTGCATTCATATACAATAAAGCGACCAACGTGAAAACAACAAAGCAGCAGCATTTTCTTCGTATTGGTACGAATAAACTTCAGTATGACTGTGTTTGCTTGTATGTATGCATGCATGTGTTTGTATGCGAATTGTGCTTTTTGGCTTCCTTAACTTGCTGCATTTACTTATGTTGCGAATTTACTTACTGTTATTTCATTCGTAGAAATATTATGTATTTGTATATGTATGGTGTATTTGTATATGTATGGTTGTGTGAAAGTGGTTCATGTATATGTATGTGGGTGAGGTATATAAGCATTGGGGAGAATTTTGCATTTATATAGAGGGAATTGCACATTGTATTACATAGGATATAGTTTAACATTCACTTGCATCAGGACAAAATTAGTAATAATTACAAAAGTTTGGTTTTATTATTGCATATTAGATGTTCATTTCACACCTCGATTAACTCCATTTTTTTTTAAATCATAAAATTAAGTGTCAAAGGTCTTGGAAAGTCATACGTTTTTTTATAATTATACCCTACACAACTATGTTGTCAGGGTATTACAGCTTTGTGCAGCCCCAAGAGTTTGTAACGCCGCGAATTATTGGTTCAAGAACCATTTTTAAGTATACCGATCGTTATATCTCGACTAGCTGAGTCGATCTAGACATGTGTGTCCGTCCGTCTGTCCCTTATAATTTGTAAACACGATACAGGCCACAGTTATAGACCAATATTCACGAAATTTTGCATGTCGGATGAGTTCTGGCTAATGAAGACCCCTATCGTTTTTGGTAAAGTTCGGTTAACATTTAGGGGATGAAATGGACCAAAAACGTTATTTTTGTCTGATTTTCTGGTCGCTCTAGAGGCTGCAATTATGGCCCAAACATCGAGAATTTTTACATGGAGAAGGGGATCGGGCCAAAGATTAAGCATGCCTGTTTTGATAAAGATCGGTTAATATTTAGCGTGTCAAAAGGAACCTGGCTTTTGTGTGAAAAATTACAAAATTTGTTTTCTATGGCGTATATATTTACTCTTTAAGGACATAGACCCAAAATGTTGATAGTATATCGAAAAGGAGTGGTTGGCCTTTAAATCGATACCAATTATATTGTAGTATGTATCCGGATGTGGGAGTTAGACTAACATATTTACAGGTGGTTACGTATTCATATATATTATTTAGTAAGCCATTACCACACTAGAGGGCGGAAATATAGCGATAATCGCTTTGAAATGTTCCGCGAGGTCCGAGTTATGGTCCAGGACAATGCCTATAATTTTCGATGATGATCAGATAATCATATTGGGATGAAGTGGGCCGAAAACATAATTTTTTGTGTTTTTTCGAGTCGATCGATAGACCAAAATTGAAAGCCAAACATCACAACATAACCCAAGGTGAAGGCAAGTAATTAGAAGGGATGTAGTGAATATTAGTAATATTTGTTGTCCTCTAGTCGGTCAAGAGGGTACAAATATCGCAATTAACGTTACAAATATCACAAAAAGGTATCATATGGTCGGCCCCGTCCGACTATACTGCTCCGCTCACTGGTTTTAATAAATATATTGAAAAAATAAAGATTGGTAAAATATCATTTCATAGGCGTATGGACCATCGCCATTATACGTTCGTCCCTAATAGAACACATTTCCACAAATATATCGATTTATAAAGTTATCATTTCGTATTCAACACCACATAATTAATTCCTAGGTATTAGCGCATATGGGATTATTGATTGATTTTTAATCTGGAGCCGAGAACATAATCCAACATCTTCTGAGAAATACAACTCAATTTTACCCAAAATATGTTATGGAATAATAGTTCTCTAAAAATATTATTTAAAAACCCACGCTTAAAGGTCGAATAGTCCTCTAAAATTACTATTTTAAAAATCCACGGTTAAGGGTATTTTAGTCCTCTAAAAATATTATTGAACAAATCAACGTTTAAAGGTCTAATAGTACTCTGAAAATATTATTTAAAACATCCACGGGTTGTTTATGCTTTGAAAAAATGTTGCAAATTTCAGACACTCAGGAACTTCAATATACCGAAAATTAAATAAAACCTTTGTGTGGGGAACTATTTTAACATATTAACCCATATTTAATAAATTCTGAAAATAAGTCCTTTATTTATCAGGAAACAGATTTTCTCAATGATGGCCTTTCAATGAAAAAAATTTGGTTAAACCTTTATAATACCGAAAATGGGGAGGGATCCGCCTAATATCTAAAAATATGCTTTTAAGAACCCGGGTAGCTAAATTGCAGCGACTTCAGTGGAAATTTTGGCTAAGACCTTCCAAATACCGCTAGAGATGAATAGGGCTGGACCTTTATATGAAGGCAATGAACAAAAAAGGAACCTATTTCAAAAATTTGGTGGAAAATATTCCAGAAATAGAGCTGAACTATTATATGGAGTCTAAATCAAAACTTGGACTTATATAGAAATTTTAGGGTTGACATCGACTGATAATTGTCAAAAAATATGTTTTTTCGCTCTCTAAGAACCCGGATCGCTAAATTACAACAACTATAGTGGACAATTTAGCTAAGGCCTTCCAAATGCTGCAGGGCTTTATCAAATCAGGAATCTATTTCGAAAATTTGGTGGAAACATTTCTAGAATCACTTTCTGAGTCGATTTATGCATGACCGGACGTCTGTTGATGTCAAATTGTAAACAAAGTACAGGTCGCATTTATCAAATGAAATTTGGTAGGGCTCATTTGACGCTCATTTGAGTCTAGCGTGATGTCCGCAAAGTTTGGTGAAAATCGGTTCAGATTTAGATATTCCTCCCATATATATTTTCGTCTGATTTTATGGTGGTAAATGGTGAACTAAGGCGCCTATATTTCTTTCGATTTGCACAAAATTTTCCACAGCGTACTGACTTAAGACTAAAATGAAGTGTGCTCAGTTTCGAGAAAATCGGTTTAGATTTAGATATAGCTCCAATATATATTTTCTTCCGATTTTATGTAAATTCCTTTTGATGTGCACGGAGAATTTTTCTCTCAAACACTCCAATAGTTGCCTAAACGTGTTGCTACTGTCTGAAGGGTTGTCCTATACGCTGCGTTTTTCGCCTCAGTAGCATTACGACACTTCTGATCGTACCACGGGTCTCTTGATTGCGGATTTTTGTGTCCAAGTGTTGCTTTTGCTGCAGTTTGTAGGGAGTGGGCAATTCTTTGCCAATGTTCTTCTATATTATTATCGGGACAAGGACTGCTTTCATGAAGCAAGTGGGTAAGTTGAGAGGTATAGGCTTCTGCTATGTATTGTGTTTGCAGCTTTTCGACGTCGAGTTTCCGTCTTACATTAGATCGCACCTTTGCTGCTGCGAACCTTGGCTGCCACAAGGTAATGGTCCGAATCGATATTCGCTCCGACTTTACATACTTCCCTTACTCTTTCCTCTTTGTAATATTCTACAAATATGTTGTTCATAAGATTTTAGGTGGGGTCCTCAAAGACGATAAATCGATATTTTAACATTTTAGTGGTCATTTCTCTATTTTAGCCGTGACATTTTACAAACCCTTGTATGTATGTCGAGAAAAAATTCTCAAAATTTATGGCCAATGTTGATTTTTAAGTGCTCCAGGATTAAAGGTTTATCGGCATGAACATCGTCTTTCGCGTAGTCCCATATAGAAAAGTCTATTGATGTCAAATCCCATGATTTTGGAGGCCAGTTGATATCGCCACGATGAAAAATTACGCGACAGGAGGACATGTCTCTTGCAATAAAGTCATATCCACACGAGTTGGGTGGTATGTGCACCTTCTTATTGAAACAACATATTTTCCAAGTCGTATTCTTTAATAGCAGCAAAAAAGGTGGTTATTATGTGATAATAACTCTCTAAATTAACGAAGAACTAAGGTCTAATCAAACAGTGACTTTTTTGGATGTAATGGACTCCCTACAATTACATGAGGATTCTTTGAACCCCAAATACCACAATTATGTTTATTAACATACCATCGCATATAAAGTCCTATCCAGTGTGCTGTGTGAACGATTGTAGCCAATGGTCAATGACATCATCGGACCTTCCAATGCGGCTTCACCATTGACCAGGCAAATCCACCATTGACCAGATTTTCACTCTGCGCCAAATCCTGGAAAGACCCACGAAACCACATCGACCCATACCACCTATTTGTCGACTATAAAGCCGCATTCGACAGCCCTATCCGTTCAGAGGTGTTTTAAGCCATGTCTGCGTTCGGCATTCCTGCAAAATTAATACGGCTTAAAGTAGGAAAGGACCTATCGGAGCCCTTCAATACCCAACGAGGATTCAGACAAGGTGACAGTTTGTCGTGTGATCTTTTTAACATCCTACTGGAAAAGGTCATACGAGACACAAAGGTGAACAGAAATGGCACTCTGTACACCAAAAAAC